TTTCTATACTTCTGCAGCAACCAATGACAAAATTAGATTATCATTTCTAATTAAAAGAATTAAATGTTTTGTGTTTTATCAATCAAGATCAAACCGAGTCTAGTTGTCGTATCCTTGAATTTCTTGTAGTGCAGTATAACATACAGTAAAATGAATTTACACCAATCGAATGTACCGTACAATCTATATGTTTAAATGTAATTACATTTAATATCTTTAAATATACATTTAAATAGAATTAATTTAGAACCTTTGTTTTTAATTACATTTAAACTGTATTCAATAACCATTTTTATCTGAAGATGGATGTTTAAGACATCCAAAAATAAAACCACTGTTGGAGAAATAAAGTGTCTTATTGTATTAAGTTTAGTTCAGTATTATTCTTTATATTTCAAAGTACAAAGGGTATTTTTTAAGTAAGGTCCGTTTTTTGATAAGAAGAAAAATACTGTAAATATCGTTGAAATGTATTTTTTCCCATATTCTACATACTTTTATCTACTTTTATACATAATTTCCATTTTTGTTCAAACATTTGTCATAAAGCTCAAAAAATTTTTTAAATTCCGACTTCAAAGAAATCTACCGCCTGCCGCCGGAAGACATTAGGCCATGCCACTTGTCATGTATGGCACATCAGTTTTCTCAAGGTCACAATAAGTGTCGGAATTGATTGTTGTGACTCTTGGCATAAAATCCACTAACAAAGTCCCTTTCCTGTCCCAAAAGACAGTTACCATGATCTTTCATGCTGAAATCGAATAACAGATCGCATCTTACAGTCAGCAGGCGACTCAATTTTCTTAAACATTATAAACTTCTACAGCTCAGCACACAGACAGACAATATGGCTGCAAATAGCATCTAAACATGTGCAAAGCATGCTAAAAGCAGATGCTCATGCACACTGCTGCAATCGTGCGTCATTCTCACTCTCATTCACAAACGGACCTTATTTAAAAAATAGCCCTCGTATTAAAACATTTGTATTTAAACATGTCAGTAAAAATATAATTATCAGAAAAAATTATATACAAGTTATTTTTGGATTTGTGTCTTCAAATGGAACTTGCAAGGGCTTAGTGTCTCAGACTTCAAGAAATATAAGCTCTGTTGTTTCTTAGTAAATACTTAAGTAATTCAAATATCTCCAAGGCAGTATATTTTATTAAAAAGGATGATATTCTTGAAACTATTTTTTCTTTTTTCCTTCTTGCTTAAGATCTTTAACCATCTTTCATTTCACATTATTGTTTATGTTTTATGATTAAATACTTTTCTTATATCCATTACACTTTCTTTCCTTTACTTTCTTACCTGATTAAATTATTTTCTGAGTTTAAAATTAAAAAACTTAAAAATGTAATGTGTAAAAATATCAGATTTGATTATGACTTGTTTTATGAAAAATAAAAGTGTTTTCTCAAAAAGATGTTGTTTCAGTGTGTTGACAGAGTGATTCACATAAGTTGCATTTATTTCCTTAACATTAAAAATTAAAGACTATTTGATATCAAAAGTTTTATTTATAAGTATATTAATTATTTTTCTAAAGAAATTAATTTTTTTCTCAATTCAGAAAGTTATAATATATTAATCTAACTGACAAAAAATTATTTCATAAATCTGCCCCTAAAGCTTCTTCACAAAGCACATTGATTGGCAGTAAAGTAAATTATAAAGGAGTTAAAGTAGCAAAATCAGAACAAATTCTTTTGCAACAAAATCTAGCAGTTAAGCAACAAACAACAGGACCCTATGCTATTAGATTCTCAAACAGTTGAATGATATAATTTTTTTAGAGGATAAGATAATACTATTTATGCATAACAACAAAGAAACATGTCAATGAGATTTTTTTATACTATGTTTTATTACCAACAATATACCATATCTTTCTGTAGTAAAGTTATCCCAATAACTAACAAATTTTTAGTATTTTTCTTTAGACATTTAAATATAGATGGTTAGAAAATGTAGCTTTGTTGGTTTTACTCCTTTATTATCTGTGGCACTTATCCATTTTACCGTAAACCACTGGTTCCCAAACGTTTTTTATTTTTGTTGTCCTTGAAAATTCAGATTTTTCCAAGGTGTCCTAATTGTTAAATTCTAACAAGTACATTAAATTCTAACATTATAAAAATTTTATAACATTTTGTGGTGCCCCTGTGAGGAAACTGCATGCGCCCTAGTTCTCAAAGTGTGCGCCACAGCACACACATTAGGAACCGCTGCCATAAACCAATGACGAAGCTAAGCACATTCATCTAGATCGTAATTCTTTTGTTTATATAAGTACAACTTGTAGGACAAATAGGTCATCATCATCTTTACATAGCCACATTTCTACCTAAATCATCACAAAAAATTTTTAATGAATACAATAACAGGATATACTTAAACACTAATTAATATTTTAACTTTCAATGTGTAGATAATAAATTTAGCATATAACTAACACCTTATCCTTGCCGAGAAATATAATTTAATTTCAAACAAACGTTTTCAGCCTGATTCACAGGCCATCTTCAGGTTGAGAACCAAATTTGAATTAAAGGATTCCATTAATGGAATACAAAATTCAAAATTAAATAAGCAACGGAATAAGATAAAAATAAAAATTAAACATTAAATAACCAACAGAATAGCATAAAAATATAAAAATGTGAAAAAATGTACATAGAAGTATTAAGAAATACAATTACTAACACATCCAATAAAATTACTTTTTTCACTCTGATTAGAGCTTTTATTAAATTTCTTAACTATAAACTTCCATGCAGAGGGAAGACTTTCTGCATCCCTCGCATTTAAACAGCCTTCCTGTATTTTACTCCTATAAATCTGCAACTTTTCAGCTGTTAACACCAAAGATGGGGAAGATAAAGTATAGGAGTAAAATACAGGAAGGCTGTTTAAATGTGAGGGACACAGAAAGTCTTCCCTCTGCATGGAAGTTTATAGTTAAGAAATTTAATAAAAGCTCTAACCAGAGTGAAAATAGTAATTTTATTGGATGTGTTAGTAATTGTATTTCTTAATACTTCTATGTACATTTTTTTACATTTTTATATTTTTATGCTACTCTGTTGGTTATTTAATGTTTAATTTTTATTTTTATCTTATTCCNAAATATAATTTTTTTTATATTTTGGAAAATATTTATGTTTCAATATTCACTATTATTTGATGCAAAAATTTTGACTTTAATATCTTATTTAATTTGCAGTTGTGGACAGGATACGTTTCTCTTCTTCTTTGATATAAGCTTCTAATCTGTATTATCAATTAATTAGTAATAAATAATGTGAGATTCTGGAGACAGGGAACAAATTTATTAAATAATGCAAAAACTAAATTATTATTTTGTTCGTTAAAAATGACACATTTTTCTACGTTGGTGAGAAAAGATGAGAAAAAGGAAAGCTCCCTTTTTCCACTATTGACTTTCCAGGATGAGATCTTATCACCCATTTTCATGAACATCTGTCAACTTAAGTCATGATGAATATCCTGTCATATGGATAAAAAGTGGCCACCTGATTGAAAGGTGTTGCAAGATAAAAGAAACATAGATGTGAATCTCAGGAAGACACTCTCCTAGAAGCTAGTAGGCCAAGCCCTTGTATGTCTTGTCAACACTCAATGCTCATCACCTATCACTGAAAGATCCATCAAATGGAAAGAGGTATTATGCTTGAACCAATTTATGTAAACTCTCTCTCTCTCAGTCGATGTAGATATAAGTAGCTAGTTTGTTGAACTAGATATATTTAATGCTTTGTAATCCAGCCTTACTTTATTTTTGTTTATTAAACTTTTTGATGTTTGTTAACCTGTCTATTGACCTGTCATTCTTCGGAAATTGGACCCCTATTGACTTATTCACAACTCTCTTCACTCGATCCTCGAACCCCTCCTATGAGATGTGTAATTAAGCATCATTCTAATAGTGAGTTAAGATGTGAATAATTATCTTAACTGGTGTCATGTCCTGACAGGAGATGAAAATTTCCCAATTTCCTATCTCCAATAACTTACATAGCCATCCACTGACACAGTGAGCAGGCCTAGCCGTCCCAATGCTGCAAGAAGGGTTGACGGTTTTAACCTGTAACTCCCGGCTTCTCAAAATAACTATGTAGGCCAAAATAACTCATTGGCCTTATTGTTATGAGTACATATTCATCACACACCCTATTTTTATTCATTAATGTATGATGTCCCAGAATGCACTTTGGCTTATTCGACAGCCCTTTACAGTCAAAGTCATATATACTTTCAATATCAAGGTATTGTAATTAAAACACATATAAAAGAATCTAATAAATAAAAATACAATATTTATATAAACTGACAATTACTATATAACTAACCACATACAGCATTATTGAATGCCATATGGCAGTTGCAATTGTATTTCTTTCCTTCTACATGTGTTTAAATACCATATTTTGTTTTTAAATTTAAAAAATATAGTAGTATTACTATTTATTACTAATTAATTGATAATACAGATTATAAGCTTATATCAAATAATTATACTTATAGTGCCTGTATCTACCTTTGAAGGAAAAATTAATGCAAAGAATTTTAAATTTAAAAACAGACATATGGTATTTAAATACAAGTACAAGGGAAGGAATACAATTGCAACTGCAGTATAGCCTTCAATAATGTTGTATGTGGTTAGTTATATAGTAATTGTCAGTTTATATCAATATTGTATTTCTATTTATTAGATTCTTTTACGTGTTTTACCATGATGTCGAAAGTATATATGTAATTATATATGTAACCCGGCTGAAGAGGACTTGAATAAGCCAAAATGCATTCTGGGACATCATGCATTAATGAATAAAAATTGAAAAGGTGTGTGATGGATTTGTACTCATAACAATAAGGCCAATATTTTATAGTTATTTGTTACTAATTCTCTTCTTCTGTTCTACATCTTTTGAATTATGTCTTCTTTAATTTCTTATCAATATCTTTTAACTAAGATACTTTAGAGACTTAAATGGTTTGCATACCATTAATTTGATATTCTGTTTGTCTAACTAGTAAAACAAATTTTTCATTTAAATTTAAAAGTTCAATAAAAGAGTGAATAAATTTTTAAGTATTTGGATATTTATTAACCAATATTTTTGCTAAATACAGCAATAAGTAACAATATCCAATTATCCATTATATTAAAAGAAAATTTTGATAATTTGAATATTTACTTTTAACATGTTCTTTGCTACTTCATGTCCTATTCTTAATGCTTGAACAAAGGCTCGAATTGCAATGAAAGATTTCTTGATTTCTACAGTTAATTTGTCTGGAATGTCTCCGAAAGGTTTCATATCATCCATATACGCACCAATACATTTTAGATATGACTCGCTAAACTGATATTGACTATTTAACACCTAAAATTAAAAATAAACATTTTAGCAATTATAAGATTTAATAATTAAACTTTTTTCTAAATAACTTATATGATAGTGAAATATTACCAAGAAATCTAGTGATGTAATTTCACAAGAAATAATCTGAGATTTTTATTTAAAATCCTAATAAAAATTATTCCTTAATGCTGTAATTAATGTATTTTAAATTTTAAAATTCTAATTTACCATGCTAGAATCCCTAGTTTATCTAGCATAGTTGTACAGTCCTTTGATAGCTTAATGTTCTGAACTGAAGCTGAATACATCTTACACTCTATCACTTTAAGTTCAGATGTACTAGTTTCTTCATTAATTGTAAATAATTTTTGGTTAGCATCACCAATGTAATACAATTTTATAAATTTTAGCATTACATTGGAGATGCAAGCCAAAAATTATTTAAAGTTAACGAGGAAATTAGTTCGTCTCGACTCAGACAAGAAAGTCCACCCAAAGTTGAGAAGTACTAATTTTTTCAATTGGATATGTCGAGCAGAAGATAAACTTGGCATACCGAGCTTCAGTCTAAAATATTAGTCTAACAAAGGATTGCAAACCATGCCAGGTAAAACTCAATTTTAGTTTGTTACAGATAAACTGAACAAACAACTGGTAAATGAATAATAAAAGTAAGTTCATTTCTAAACATATGTAGAATTAATGTTTTCTTGAAATTAATTTTAATAAAAACTCACCTGAAACATCTTTTTGTATAATCTTTGAAAGAAATGTACCATAGCTTTATCTAAGTTTATTCTCCCCGTCATGTAATACCTTTCAAGATCTTCAAACATATCTTGAAATATATATGAATTTGTATCATAAATTAAGCCATAAGTCCTCAAAAACATTTCATGAAAGTCTCTCTTGGAGGTTTTAAGTAGTTCTCTAAAAAATTCTGTAATCAAATTAATTTTCAAACATTACTGATAAAATATATATATTCTAAAATGTATTACATATATAAAATGTGTAGGATGTACTTGGTATATTAATTTATTTAATATTTAAAAAAGTCAAATTGTTGATTATATCAATAATGCTTTCTATTACATGTAAAATTAAAAATTTGATGAAATAGCAGAAAATTATTAAGATAAACATGAAAGATCAATAAATTCTCTACACAAGGTTAATTTAAAGAGAAAATTTTGGAATAATGTATAATGTTTTTAAAAGTCCAAACCAGCTTTCTTTAAGAACTTTTTAAACTGTTTAAATTTGTGCCCCTGAAAATGAATTTTATCAATACAAAAGTGCCAAGGAATGTAGGATTTATTAATATTACCTCAATAAAGTAGGCTTTCTATAAATTTTGAAAAAATTTGGAATGTTTGTTGATTTTATTGTCCAAATCAACTGTAATAGAACAAAAAACTCCAGCCTTTAATCAAATCATATCAATATAATTGAGACCATATATTGTTTTTGTTAAACATATGAAATTATCATAAATATAAAGTTTACTTATATATATATCAGCCAAAAAATATCATATTGAGAGATACATACATTATATGTAGTTTGGATGTCAAAAACTAAAAGACAATCTATGAGAAAAATATTAAACAGGAGTTGCCTGTATAACAGATAGTAACAGAATTGAATTATTATTAAACCAAATCATTTCTAAATCTTACAAATTCAAAAAATTGTAAAAGTAATTTCATAAATTACTAGTAAGTTAATTTCCACACATTTTTAGTTGTCTCAAACAATCTTCTTTGCAACAGAAAGAAACAAATGTCAACTTAATTAAAGAAGACTTTCCAGCATTTGTTCTTCTTTGTAAATTGAAATTTGTTTATTTCTGTCCCAAAGAAGGTTGTTTAAGATGACCAAAAACATTTGAGAATTAAAACTGTACTGCATTTCAGACATCTGAGTAGTAGTATTAATGTACTATGATATAAACTTTAGAAAATTACAATAAATTTCTAATTCAAAAACTTTATTGATTATAGAATGCTATCACTCAAAAACTGGGTATACTTGAATTAATAACACTAAAAAAAACCTAACATTTAGCAGAGTAAAAGAAATAAGTGCTAATGTTTTTGCAAGTGTCAAATGGGCATCATCAGGCAAACTAATCTCCTAGCTGCTGAAACAATGGAGAAATTAGTTTGCCCAATGATGTCCTTTCAACACAGGCAAGAATGTTAGGCACTTATTTCTTTTACTCAGCTAGCTATTAAGTTTTTAGTGGATTTAATTTATTGATTATTGACCATTAATTTGTATTATGGTACGCTCTTGCTAATCCAACCCTTAATAATCTGACCTCTCATTTATCTGGTAAACCAACCCTAGTGTGATGAATTATACACTTCCATTTCCACAAAAATGTTAATCGTGTCAAGTCTTTTTTCTCTGTTTACTTGGGCTTCATTTATGTACAGTATTGTACATTGGTGAACCATATTATTTGCCTGCCAATCTCCAAGAAGAATTGGTACCGAAGAGTACAAATTCTTCTTGGAGCTTATGGGTTACACTTGGTAATCTGGCACTCCCACAAATCTGGTATCCATCTGAGCAAGGAATGGAAGGATTAGCAAGAGTATAGTGTATTTTCTTTATCTTTATGTAAAACGTCAATAAAGTCAAAGATTTGTACAACTTATCTTGGCTAAAATAAACTAAATGATACAATAGAAAAAGATATATTTATATATACTATTCTATTTTATTACATAATACAAAATAAAAAATAGAAATGCATAGATACAACAGAAAATCAAAAATTCAAATCCTCACCATCAACTTCATATGTCTGTTCAATAAATAAATTCTTCAGTTTTGTGATAATTTTCTTGAATTTTTGGTCAAATTTGATTCGAGCTAACGTAGCAAGTTTGTATTCCATGTTATTTGTACAGCAACTTAATTCCTGAGTGCATATTTTCAGCTGATAACCTATGACAATAAAATATATTAAGTGCAATTTATTTTTTTTAAAACAATTTCTAAGCTAAAAATATTTTTTAGTACAATATCAAATCAACCTTTATCTATCAGTTTTTTCTGTAGTTTAAAAAATAAAACATTTTTAATTACACAAATGATGAAACAATAAATATGAAGAACACAAAATCATTCTTTATACTTGATATTCTGACAAAAATTAATTGTAGAGTCTCAAACGTTCAATATAATTCCCGATAATAAATTTTAATGTTTTCTAATTTATAATTACTGATGGTCAGATGCCCGAGCGACTAAGTTGGCAGCCTACCGCTCTGGGGAACCTGAATTGAATCAAAAAATTCCAGGACTTTTTCAGATAAGCCCCATTCGTCACCATCCAGCCACCTGTTGCAGGCATAGCCGAATCTGTAATGGGCTTGCTAAAAAGGCCCTCTTAGTGACTCTAAAGGCTCTAAGACTAATCTGTAACTACATTTTAAAAAGCATTTATCTTCTGAATATAATGCTTAATCTAAACTATAATTACATCAATTTTATGTTGTATCAGAGCAGATTTTTCATTCTTCAATAAAATAGAAATTTATGATGTTATAGTATATCAAAAATTGGATATATACTATCACATTGGGAGTTTTTAATTAATAATGGCTTTTCCAAACTCTTACAAAACATTCAAAGCTTCCTGAAATACAACTTCTATCTTATCATTAGGAATTACTTAGATTTTTTTCAAAATTCAGTTTCTTTCAATCTCTGCATCTCGAAAAAAACATTACTTAAGTTTCGTTTCAATAAAAAAAACTATGCGTAAGAGTGCAAATAACTTTAGACACACTTTTCATGTAATGCTGTAGAGATGAAGGGGTGAGAGGCTAGGATGTTTTGGCAGAAAAATATCCAGGCAGCTGAGATAGTAAGCCTGAGAGTTGGATTTGTTAAGTTAATTATGGTGTATCTACTTGTATTTAGAGATTAAAGGTGATTTCTAAAATATTGAACTTGACTGTTGAGACGACAAACATCACATGGTGACAGGGTGAAGAGAGAAGGCAACTAACACAATGAACAACATGCTCTACACCAGATTTCTGTGTCTGACAATTTATGTTCAGAGTATGTGATTGAGAGTGATGGAACCTCCACTTCCAGAGGTTTCGTTCAGTCAGTTGTTTATCTGCCAGGCTGGATTCGGAACAGATTAATTCTCTTATCTATTTAATAGGACCATAGGCGGAACAAGTGTTTCATTCTTAAGTAAATATAAAATATAAATCACAGCTGATGGTATTACATTTAATTATTTTACAGTTACAAGTATAAACAAAATATAAAATTCCAACGTTTAACAAAGACAGATGATAAACAAAAGCAAAATATTTTCTTTGTTAAACGTTGCAATTTTATATTTTGTTTATACTTTTAAGTGTAAAATAATTATGTGTTTCATTTGTTTAAACTTACTAATGTCGAGGAGGCAAGTTTCCTAACAGTATTATCAACTTAAATTCATTAAAAATCTACTAATGTGAGGTAGATAATAAGGATTTATCACACCAGTTTTAATAAGCACAAACACCCAGGTATCAATAAAGTACACTTAATAAAACAAAAAGGGGTGTACTACATTAAAATCAATTACATGAGTAATTAACATGAAATAACCAAAATGCATTTCAGACTATCGGAATAGTCCCTCTTCACTTGGTAAGAGTACCTCACATTAGTAGATTTTTAATTAATTTAATTATACCAAGGGCTAAAAGCAATTTCTTTATATTAAGTATTACCAAAGTTTTGAAATCACTGTGCCTTCAAAGAATGTTATATATGAGTGATACTGCTTCCACACTTGTAAACAGGAGGAGGGGGAAAGTGTAGAAGATTCTGTGATAGATCTGCATTCAAGAGTTCAAAATTGCAATTTCCTGATTTTGTTGATTAGGCTACGTGGAATCAACTTATGAGAGGTACTGCAGATAAAAACCTAAAAGTAGCCTGATGTAATCTGGTGGTTGTTTGGCTTTACAAATTTATCGGGTTTTGTGTTTGTTTATGGATAAAAATCTCTTGGAGAAACTACAGTTAGATCTATCTCTTACACTAAAGAATGCCCATGACAACTACTCGTCAGGTGAAAGTTGAACAACAAGGAAAAAACAACAGGAAGCTCTTCGAGGTATGTCAAGTATTGTGAATGCTATAAAGCCTAAGTAGCAGGCAGCCTAAACATAAGGTTGAGGGGGGGGAAATGAGTGGTAAAAAGCTATGTACATACAAAGAAGTTGTGTTGTGTAAATGATGCAGCCATACAAAAGTGAATGAAAAAGCAAAGTATTCAGCAAGAGATACAACATGTTGTAAATGCAAGCATAAAGGACATTACGCTAGTGTGTGTCTCTGGAGAAAAATGAAAAATGATGGATACTTATGATAAGGTTCTGAAGAATTTAGTGGGAGAAGTGCATGATTGGAATAACACAGAGATATGGCAGACTAAGGTGAAAATTCTGAATAAGACTGTTACAGTAAAGGTGGATACTGGAACTGATGTGAGTGTTCTGCCAGAGACTACATATAAAAATCTGTTTTTCCGGAAAGGAATAAGACAACCTAATAAACCCGTACCTACATTTGTTTAATGTACATATGGGTGGAACAAACTGAGTATAACTGGAATAATCTCAGTCAAAGTAAGTGCAAAGAATAAAACTGTGACAGAAGCCTTCTTTGTTATATCTGAGGCTAAGTAAGTTCTATTAAGTTACCATGCTTCAGAGAAACTCAGACTTGTTTAATGGTTATATGTGGTTACATCCCAAGATAGAATATTTGAATAATACAAGAAATTTTCAATATAATTTATTGGTCTGGGTAATACTAAGCAAATGTATGATATCAAATTAAAGTAAGCAGTGCCATATGCCATTATGATGATGTCATAATTTATGGTGGTAATATGCAGGAAAATGATAAATGTCTTGAAGCAGTGGTACAGAAAATGTAGAGTGCAGCTTAGGTAAATCCACTATTGCCTGAAAATGTACAGAAAATGTTGTACGGCTTAGGTAAATCCACTATTGCCTGAATTAATTTTTTATTAGGAACAATTCGTTCCTAATAAAAAATTAATTCAGGCAATAGTGGATTTACCTAAGCCATACAACACATCTGACCTGAAAAGATTTTTGGGTACAGTAAATTTTCTAGCTAAGTTTGTGCCAAATTTAGCAACTGTGTCTCAGCCTCTTTATGAACTGTTGCAAAAATACATGGAGTGAATGACACCCAGGATGGGGCATTTACAAAAATTAAGGAAATGTCAAAGCCTCCTGTCTTAGCACTATATAATGTATCCAAGGAAACAAACATATCAGTTGATGCTTCTTCAATGGCAAAAACAGTGTACTTTTACAGAAACAAGAAAATGGAGAATACAGGCCCATAGAATATGCTTCAAGGAACTTGTCTTCCAGTGATAGATGCTATGCGTGACCAAAGGGTTGGCGATACCTACATCAGGATTGGCAATAGCAATTTGTTCATTTCACATGTGAGAAGTCGCGTGTGTGAGCGGTCAGATTTGGGAGGTTGACATCTGAGAGACAATGCGCAGAAAGAAGTGCACATTACAACTTAATTATAAAGAAATAATATCCATTTATTCTGGTAAACTATTTACACATATGTTTACAATAACATTCTGTTTAACTTTTATATAGTGGCAAAATAGATGAGTTCTAGTAGCGTAACATACTGGATAAGAGTAATATAACAGAATTAATTAGGCCCAATACTAAGTTAACGAGTTCCTAGCTTAGAGAGAAAGCTTACATTTTAACATGTGATGCTAAATATCTTGATTGGTCCTTGATCGAAGTCTTGAGGTTGCAAAATGTCCTGATGATGGAGTGGAGAGGTTTCAGCTAGGTTGGATAGAGTTAGGCTCATTGATGGTAAGTTCACTATCAAATGGTATTTTTGTTAAGACATATACGACAAACAGCAGTCGAAGGGATCAGTGAAAGGGCAGAGCACTCACATGAAAAGGAGGAGGTTGACAAATTCTTGTTGTTGGCTTCGATGTTCACCTTTTATTTCGGGGGTCCTCCCCCTTGATTTTGATGCCCTTTTTAGGCAATGTTAAGTTTTTTTATCAATAGATGAATTTCAAAAGAAAGTTCCTGGTAACATATAACATTCGGAAGATGTGTCACCTTTGGAAAGGAAGTAAATCTGGGGAAAGATGAGATCACATCCTTCCATTTTTTTATTAAGTGTTGGGAAAATTTTTCTTTATATAATATGAGAAATTCAAGTGTTATTCTTAATTAATTTGATATATTTTGTTGTGGTTAATTAAAATTTTCCTCTCATCCTGTCTCACACTATGCATAGATCAAAAAGGAAGCTTTGACCACAGCATGGTCTTGTGATAGATTCTCAAATTTTATTGTAGGAAAAACCATATCTATAGAGACTGACCTTCAACCTCAGACAAAAAGATTTGGATAGTCTAATACCTAGACTATAAAGGATCAGCTTGCATTTGATGTGATACCAATATGTTATACAATACTCAAAGTAAAGAATTAATAGTCACAGACACTGTGTCGACCCAGCGAAAGCAGTCGAAGAGAATGAATTAGCAGAAGAGATATCTGCATATATACAGCATGTCATGTCTTCAATTCTCACATCTGACAAAAAAACTAGCTGAAATTATCAGCATGCAGGCCACTGATCCAGTTTGCTGAGAAATAACGAAGTACTCAATGCTAGGACGGCCTTTGAAATTTAATCATCTCACAAGAAGTAATACTGTATTGGGAACCTAGGAATGCTATATCCTATGTAAGGCATCCATCTCCATTCTTAAGATTAATGAAGAACAGATGGAGGGACATACAGATGGACATTAATACATTAATACTATTAAATGTAACTGTTACTATTAAATGAGCCTTATAAATGCTTTTCTCTCTTATAAC